CAGATCCTTTCATGGTTCCACCATCCGTTTACACCACAGCCATTCAAAAGAATGCCAAGGGTTCAAAAAAAGTAGGTGCTAGGTACTCCATTGCCTAAAGCAGTGTTCTGGAGTTTAAGCTGAGAACGCACAGCACCAAAAGTACAGTATCAACTCGGACAACGTATGAAATTCAGCACCCAGATTTCTCACAAAAGACTGTTAAGCGCCTAGAAGCACCAGAACATTTCACTGGCATTAGAACTTAATATTTCATGAGAACATTTTACCATCTGCTGAACACTGATATTTCACAACTCAGTGAAATGCAGCAGTCACAGAAGACTGATCAGTTGCCTGCAAAATAATTCTTTTCATATGTTACCTTGTGTAACTGATCCTAATTCCTATAGTATTCAAATTGTCTGAAAAGGAAAAAAAAGATGCCTGCAAATGCTGCTTGCTGGGCTATCTGACACTACCAGAAGGATGAGAGAAGGGTTAGACAACAAACCCCTAAACATCCTATGGCAGCTACTATTTTCCTCCCTTTGGAAAAGAGCCCAAGGGATTTATGCAAGGCATGAAAGAAGAAGGAAAAACAGATTAGGAGGCTTTGATGGTCATTCTTCAAGGCGGGGAAGCTGGTTGGTCTTACCATGCATTGCTCCAGAAAAAGGATCATCAACCAGGCTGCCTGAGGTAATGAGATGGAAGACGTGTGGAAAGCATGAGCTGGTCAGAGCACATAGACACAAATTTCTCCTTATCAAGGCGAGAGGATCCCACACATTGGGACTCTTCCCTTAGTGAAAAACAAGAATTTTGAGCCAGCGGTAAAACTAGCCCTAGATAACAAGGGGCTAGTCAGCTGGCTTGCTAGATAACTGAAAGGAAGAGATGGATTGCAGGCAGCTGAGATCTGTCAGGGGACTCGATGTCTCCTGGGCCAACAAGAACCTGAGATCTCAAAAATTGCTTTTGCTACAAGAACGGAGATGTTTGATTTTTCTTCTCCTTTCCAAGAAGAAGGATTATTTACTTACGTGAACAAAATTTTCTTTTTCTAAAGAAAATAAGAGATCAAACTGCCAAGCTGTCCTGTCTTAGAGACAAGATTCTGTGAATCTCATGTAAAAAACAACCTAGTTCTCCAAAAAAGGCAAACTTGTTTCTCATGTACATCTGACTTAAGGGGAGGGAGCCATTGATTTTGAAAGAGGAGGGAAACTACTGCCAGCTGGCAGCAGCTGTGGTAAAACAGCTATTAGACACAGAGAACAGCATTTTGGAAATCTAGATATTAAACACTTTCAGAATTAAAAGCATTGTACACTCTGTAGTAAGCAAACCCAGCTCCAATTTATTGCTTCACAAAATCGCTCCCAAACAGACAGCTAAGGTGCCCTCCCTTAAGTACCATTTCCCAGTCACAAATGTAGAAAAAGAACAGAAACAGAGTACAGTATGGCAGCCCCATTCTGTCACTTGCAAGAAAACCCAAAGGTGAAAGACCAATGGCTTCATCAACTCACCCATCCCCATTCAAGAGTTTGGGTCAGTAGCAGTAACCCATGAGACACTTTGACCATTCCTCAGCTAAGGGTGGCACTGTCACCTTTAGCACCGAGTTGCTCAGCATTATGATAGCCCTGAGGCTGCAGAGCCTCACAAGAGTCCACTCTGTTCAAAGTCAGTGTTCACAATAGACTCCCTCTGGGTGAGCCAAAAGCACCAGGAAATCCAAGTTCATGAAGGTTCCTTAAAAGTCTGTTGAGGAACACTTGGCCAGCAGTCCACACAAATTTAGTAGAGATATTTTATCTTGTTGTAGACAAATACAGAGAAGAACAAAATTTGCGGTGAGTACACTCTTCTACAAAGAGTGGCCCAAGGTGACAAAGTTAAATGCACCACGACTTTTACAGACATAAAATGGGCAACAGCAGAGTTTAGGTAAGCCAGCAGAGTGTGAAAGCTCAGCTAAGTCCCACCCTTCTGCAGTGCATTGCATTTATTATTTTTAATCAGAAGATGTCCTCAGGATTTTTTCTTTCCCTCAAGAACAACCATGAAAATCTAATAATCTAAAATGAATGCACTTGTCTAACCTGTGGTAACAAGGGAAAGGGACCAATGCTTATTTACATATGAGAAGCCACACTATGAGAATAAAACAGTTACATCTGTTCCAAGAACTAAAAGCAGAAGTGGAATATTTGAGAATGATCGATTTTATTCACATGTTGGATTATTCCAAAAAAAAAAAAAACCCCAAAAGCCAAAAATGACTCTATGGTAGAAAATCCTCCAAATCAATATAAAGTAAGTTCTAGTAAGTCTATGCCATTTGAGAGCTAAATGCTTTTTTGTGTTTTCTACAAGCAGGATAAATGCAAGCAAATGCATCAAAACATTTTGACATTAGTGTCTCACATCCAATGTTATTTCATGAAAATCTCTGAGGTACCATTTTATTTAATTTGGTACATTTAGAAAGTGCACATTTTGGTGTTTATGGAAGAAAGTCAAGTTTCAGTACTTTCAGCCTTTTAAACATTACGCTGTTGGCTAACAGAAGTTTCTCAGTACTCAACATGTTATATCAGATCAACTGAGAAGTAGTTTTAATTTTATTTTCATTATTAAGTTACTAAACAATAACTTCACAATCAAGTATTTCTTTCAACTGAAACATGGGAGCCAAGTGGCTATGTAAAGCTTTCTCTTTCAATCCCTTATCACCCTGAGAGTTGTAACTGAAGAATTAAAGTAATTTAAGTGTCTCTGCACTAGGAAGACTCTATACACAAGAATCCACATTCTTCTTGTGTTTCAAATCTATTTGTATTACCTCCACAGCACCCATATCAAAGCTGGCCACACATTTTCTGCTCTTTGTCATAGCACCACTTCAGAATGTAATTCTGACGTTCTCCACTATATTGAATAAGGTCACATGCACCTGGAAAAGGGAAATAAGAGACGGATTTAATGAAAGATAGATCTACCCTTCTCAGCATTGTAGTTTCAGGGAAAAGTAACATTCAATGCAAACGGGCAGATGAAACTGAACGCTAGCTAGTGTGCAACGTCTTACAAAGATTCACTAAGTATTCAGGCACAAACCCACAGTTCTGGCATGGTTTGAAGCCCCTCTTTGTGTTATTGATTTAACCAGAAAGAATGTCTGAAACAACTACATTTTCAGTGGCATAAACAGAAGGAATGCTAAAAGGTCTTTAGTCTTCTAATATTTTTACTAAAATTATTGTAAAATTATTATACCTGGTCTATAGGGACTAGGTAAATACACCTTTTCAGAATGCCCCTCTTCTTTATTACAACTTGTTATACTGGTATCCATCAGTAAAATTTTATAAATGAACATACATAGATGGTTAAATTATCCATGATAGCCTCTTAGCCAAATCCTAGAGTAATACAGATTTAAATTGCATAAATTAGCCCAAATGTAGGTGAGAATAGTATACTTTGTAGCAATCTGGCATTCAGCAAGTACAGATCTAATTAACTTTCACCAGCGTAAATTCAGAGTTACTCAAATGTAGTCAGAAGAGCAGTTCCAGATTTTGGTATCTGTATGACAATGAAGGGGAAGCACTGAGAAGTAAAGCAAAATACTGACAAAACTACCCAACCTAAAGATTTAAAATGACATAACCTTCTACTCACAATCGACTGAAAAACAAAAAACCCCCAAGCAATAGATCAGTACAAAGAATATCTCTCAAAAGGCAAGTTCTGGAACTGTGCTACATGTTTTCAGAAGTAAACTGTTGGGTCACTAATTACAAGTCAGCATTGGGAATGGCAGTTCACATGTCTCCCACAAGCAGCTAAGGTCACTGCTCACAACATCAGAGCAACAACCTTGACCACTTCCTCACAGGAAATATTTGTAAATGTGGTGGTTTGGCCCTGGCCAGATGCCAGGTACCCACCAAAGCCACTCTATCACTCTCACCCCCTCAGCTGGACAGGGGAGAGAAAATATAACAACAGGCACATGGGTGAGATAAAGACAGTTTAATGAAGCAAATAGCTGCGCACGGGAGCAAAAGCAAAACAGAAGATCTGATTCTCTCCTTCCCATCAGCAGGTGATGCCCAGCCACTGTCTGGGCAGCGGGGCTCCCGTGTGGTTGCTCTGGACGACAAATGCGAAACGAATGTCCCCCACTTCTTCCTGTTTTCCCCAGCTTATATTGCTGAGCAGACGTCATGTGGTATGGAACATCCCTTTGGTCAGTCTGGGTCAGCTGTCCTGGCTATAGCCCCTCCCATGATTTTCCCCACCCCCAGCCTACTGGGGAAATGTTGGGGAAGCAGCCTTGGTGCTGTGTGAGCCCTGCTCAGCAGTAGCCGAAACACTGGTGTGTTATCTGGCTGCCACTGCACAGCACGGTGAGGGCTGCATCTCAGGCAGACCCATTACAGTAACGTATAAACAGTAACATATCATCACACTACTGAATTACGTGTGTGACCACAGAGTTCATGAACTGATTAATAGCAGCACTGACTCAACACTGTACACATGCAGATTGGTGATGGTACCAGTTCCATCTGTGGTGAGCAAGTCTGTCATCCACTGTGGATGTATGGCATTCCCAGAGGTATTTCAGATCTTAATCAAAGAGCCGATATTAGAACAGTTTTGCAAACGCATTGCTCCACTCTCATCAGGGATGGGGCTACCAGCTGTTGCCAGAACCATTATTGAGTGGAAAGGGATGAAACCCAAAAGAATGGCAGCTATAGCAATGAGCTACCACACCCAAAGCTGTGCCTACACCATTGCATTTTTTTCATGGAAATTCTCTCCATTTGCAGTCTAAACAATAAAAACACTCAAGAGCATTAAAAAAATGTAGGTGACAAGTTATCTCACAATCAGCTTCCCGTACCTACTGTAACAAATGGCAAATCTGCAAAGAAAAATGCATCATTAGGAAGTAAAGTAAAAAAACATTAAGAATATATATTTTGATAGGATACCTCTGCCGAGGGATCCTGTTCTTACTACAGGAACAGACTGTAGCAGAGACATAGTTAGTTCCTTCATGTTGAGCTAAGTTAGCAGCAGGAGTAACTCAGCAATTATAGTGCAACTTGGGGATTTAAAATGATCAGCTGTTTTAGTAAATAGAATTAGAACTTTATATTATAGTTTTATAGAAAGTTACAAATCAAAGCTAAAGTCATAATGACACCTGCAGATCAGCCTTTAATTACAAACCGTTACTGTATAGATTTGAATTGAATACAAACATGGTGAAAAAATGCCTTGGAAAATGTAATTAATGGAAATACTTCATACTGTGTAAATATTCAGCTGAGCCCTTCACCATTTAGAGTCTTTTTACTAAATTAAAAAATATTTTCATATTCTAAAATCACATCATAATCATTATAGGCAGCTCTAGTTTCTACTATTGCCTCTAAGTTTTCCTCATTCTCCTCCTGAGCTTCTCCATACTCTTGTGGCTTTTCTCCTTCAGCATCTTCCTCTGTGAAATACTCATTCTCCTCATAACGATATCTCATTTCTGGCATTGTTTATACAGATTCTGTGGTGGTCTCTCTAATATTCTCCAAGACTTTATTTTCAGTTCTTTCAATGTCTTCTAAACCACGACTGTAACCAGTTTCATCAGTTCCAGGAAAAGGCATCCTTCCAAGAAGAGACAAAAATAATAAAGTAAGTATTTAAGCACCAGTATGGCCTTGAAAAATGCATCTAGTTCATTCCCTCTGAATTCCAGGAAAAATTTTTTGATCCTGATCCTGTTCCTATTAAAGCTACTTTGAATAAGACTACTAAACCAACAGAAGACTTATGTTCAGATACACACTCAAAAAGTTCAATAGGCAATTCCAAACCTTTCAATCATAGACACTTGCTGTTGTGTGTCTTCCTGATCTAAATTTTCACACTCTTCTTGAACTTCAGGTGAAGGATAACTGTTCATCTCTTCTGTGGGGAAAGCACAGATACTCACGTGTGAGTTTTAAAGTCCTCCAAAATCCAGTATGTTTAATAAATGATGTGATTTTTTTTGTTGTGAACTGGAGTTTGCATCTTTCAATAAGTAACATACCTTATCTAGAGTGACTGGCACTATGTCCAGGAAAATGAAAATTATGTTAGAGATCAGCTAGATGAGAATGACTCCTGAACCAACCTTTTATACTTTTGTCTTGTTCTGTAACACACTATTATGTGTTACACACACAAAAACTTTGACATCTCTAAGCACATGCTTCTGATGAGGATTTTAAATCAACTTCCTTCTTGATATTCTCATTTGTATTTAAAAGCACCTAAGACCTGCTAATCCACATGAATGTGTCATGAAAAGTGAAGAAGTTCTTTCTTTGCTCTGCAGAGGAGTAATTACTGCAAAAAAGAGACGTCAATGCCAAATCTGCTAAAAGTTTAAACTTGTATCTCACCTAAAGACTAAATAGCCTCAGTAAATCTGGACCTGCCAATGGTCAGAGGAGAAATGCAGGCCTAAATCAGGAATATAACTGTGTTCTCTTAGCTGAGGAATGGTCTTTCTTTAGTGAAAGCAGAGTCAAAGAAGCCACACAAAATAATACAAACTTAAAGCAAAAAAAAATACTTAAGACTTTGGCCTAAGGCACCATTAGAATATAATGCTGTTCTGTCATTACTGGCACTTCCACTAGTGTCCAGCATCTGCAGCAAACTAAAGATGAAAGACTGGCTTGCTAAATTATGACTAGAAACTGAATGACAGCACATAAACACTGACTACCTTTTTTCTACACAGCATTTCTCTTTCTTTCCATAACTTAAGCAAATGCCATTGTGTGCTACTTACGTTGTAGAAGGTTTAGAAATGCCCGGCTAAACCGCTGAGCATATACCATCTCAGATGTTGAAACCCTGTCCAGTGTCAGTAAGTGCTGGTCTGTGGGGGAGCTTGACAACTCCATCAGCTGATTGTCACTCACATCATTGCCAAGTGCAAGAGTAAACAAGGTGAATCCTTGGCACTTGGCTCTGAGTGAAACCTCTCTCAGCTTCTCTCTGTCCCATGTGCTTGTTTTGCTTCCAACTATTGCAAATATGACCCTGTGTTTTCTTTGTCTGGGGGCTTTAAAGAACACATTTTCAACAGTCCACTGCAGGGCAGAAGCAATGGCTGATGGCCCTTCCAGTTGGTGAACAGACTCTTGGATATGTTTCTTCATCAAATCTTTATTGCTGTATGTGACTAGATCAAACTCCAAAGCTACAGGTGTCTGGTTTCTGTCAGGCAGGAAGCCCCTGGGAGCCTGTTGCACCAGTGCCACTCTGATGCCTCCATATGATTCATTTGGCTGTGAGGAAATGACAAACTGATCTAGCATGTTGCTCACAAAGTCTTTGGCTCTCTGAAACTTTTCACTGCTGATGCTGTGAGAGCTGTCCATGATGTAAGTGATATCCATATCCATCAGAATAGGGGGAGAAAAGGGCACCTCACAGTTGGTACTTGGTTTGCATTTATCTAGAGGAAGAGCCAATAGGCAGCAAATTATTTAGTAATACAACAAAAGCAATAGTTTAGAAAAAAATTCACACAGTCCTATTAATCTATTTTATTTTTCTTAAATTTTGATTTAAAGAAAATCAATCTGGCAGCTTGAAACCTTGCTATTCTAGCAAGGAACAACAGATTTCTCTTGCTGAACAAGGCTTTGAGACACCACGGGAAATTATTCAGGCATGAACAGCAAAAAATGTTCATAAGGTAAAACTTAACAGATAATAGTTCCCTTGAGAAATTTTCTTCCGTCAAAATCTAAACATTGTAAAGGACACTGGAACAAACTCTGCTTTTCATCTCAGGCCATTGTTCAGAATTCTGAAATATTATCATTTAGTAGCTTCCCTCTCCCCCCTCATGTAGAATTTACCGTAAATGAGCCTGGTTTCCCAGATCTTAATGCTATTTTAAGTGCATTTCTGTTGAAAAGGAAATGCCAAACACAATAATTCATTTCATATGGCTGAGACAGCAACTAATGAAAAAGCTTTTGCAATTTTGAGATTCTAATTCTTACCACCCACTGAAGGGGAAATTAAAATTTTAACTCCTTAGCAGGGGTAATCTGTAACCAAGGAATGATCTGGCACAGAAGGCAAGAAGGTCCAGTTGCAGAAGGAGTTAAACTGGGAATGCCAGAGAGATAACAACTCCCTGTAAGGGACTAATGTTTCTCTTGGTGACAGGCAAGAAACAGCCACAGCATTGTCTTGTAGCCATCCTGGAACTCAAGCACTCAGGGGCCACCTTTGAGCAGCAGAGCTGGGCTGAGTAACCCCAACATTCTGTGATTCTGCGTGCTGGTCCAAGTGTATATAACGCATCTTAATGCATCTTTGCAGAGTCCTTGTAGAACCACTTACAGCAGCAGGGCTCTGAGCAATGCACTGCTCATTAAATTATCTTTTGTTCATATTTAAGCACAAAGGTATTTAAGGGGTAGAATAAAAATTCCCCAACACCACACTGCAAAATAAAACCTATAGGATTTGTTATTGAAAGGGTAAAAGACCAATACCACACCTGGAATTTGTAAAATGTCTTACCAAAGCAAAGCGTACAATATGTGATGACCTCCAAATTTTCATCCTGTTGTCTTTCCCAAACAAACAATTGGAATCTTCTAGTATCATCAACCTATGTTTTAAAGCAGACACAAAAGTAACATTAAAAAGATAGGTAAAGCACAGGTAAAAGATATTGTTTTGGTTTTTTGGTTGGGTGGTTTTTTGCCAGTGAAGGGCTGTAATTTTTTTTTCTTTTCTTAGTAAGGGTGCTACAGAGCAAAGGGCAGCATCTCCTATCTCAGCTCTTTCTGGGACAAAGAGAAATCCTCCACAGTTAAGATGTTTTCTTGGGAGACAAAAATCCAGCATTAGAAAATTCTAGCACTAGAACAACCTATGTGTTGCCTGTAACCAGCTGGAAAAAGACAACCTTCTCCACTAGAAGATTTAACCACAGAAATGCTTGACGAACCCTGAAGAAACTCCAACAACATCCTACAAGTTCACTGACCACTCAAACCCATCCAAAGATGATTCAAGTAAAAAAAAAAAGTTTTCCTTGTGGACCAAGATAAATAAAAATGGCTGTAAAATACCATAATACTGCAGGAAACTAACCATATATAAGCTAAAAGAGCGAGGAAAGAAATAATTACTTCTTCGCCTTAAACTTAAGCTTAACTTCTGATTAATGTCTGTATAGGATGTGGTAGACAAGCCTCTTCAAAGGAATTGGAATTGGCAATGACTGTTTAAGTGATCTCCAAATGGAGGCTTCTAAAGCAAACTAACCAGAGCCAGTAAGGATCTGGGGCTACAGGCTGGTAGTCTCAACTGCAAGGGCAGAAGTCCATCTGAAAGAAAAAGGGAGGTTGTATTTTCTTGGGTGGTGGTGGTGGTGAGGTTGGTTGCCTTCCCATCACTGTAACCATAAAGGAGAGCTGGGCAGTGAAGTTTTTGCCTTTCCTCCTGCTAAGCAGCTTCCACTCTGAAAACTGATTTATGGAAAGTTGGCACCTTTGTAAACACCAGATGTCTTCATATGCATTCGGATTTGTAATCTGCTTACAAAATACTGATGGTTGCTCCTGTTTATCCTGTGAAGCAACCCAGTGAATAAACTATAAGCTCCCTTCTCATATGCCAGGAGAGTTTCTTCTTTCTGCTAAATTAACATCCAGCCAGTAAATATGTGAATTGACTAACAGATACGAGGCTGCATGAGAATAAACACGAAGATTAAAGGGCTGACTTAGATGCTATTAGATCAGAACTTAGACTCCAAGTTTTGCACTTTTTGTCACATGTAAGTAAATATAGTTTCCTTCTACAAGGATAATTTTGAAGAAACAGCAGCTGGAAGGAATTTTATTTCAAAGAAGTTTAAACTGATCACAGATGATACAAAAATAAATTTAGAAGAGACAAAACATGAAATCCATATTATGAAACCTTAAAGAAACAGAATTGTTTTACTTTGGTACCTGGTAAAATGGATTGCTTATTTTCATTTACTGTCTTTTTATATGATGTCATATTTTGAAACAAAAGTTGTCAATTTTCTCCCGTACTAATGGCAATACAGCTATCAAGAGGGGTTTTGCTTAATTTAATTTTCTTTCGAAAACAAAAAGAGTACTTGAAGGCTTCTGCTACTACTTTTTCTAGGAACTAAGGCCACCTTTTGTTAATTAAATGGTTAGTACGTGTCATAACTTCAGAAGAAAAATGGCATAGTTAACTCACTCAAATTGAGTGTTTTGAAATTCTGTGATTTGGCTCAAACACACAAGTCATAAATAATTCATGTGCAGAAAGAGGTCAGATGATGATCATTATGGTCAAGTGCATCAGTATTTCTCTGTTAAAATAGTAAACTTTAATATATCCCTTTCCAGTAACGGATTGGACAGTTTCTGCAGAACTTACTGGCTTGAGAGCATGCTTTACTCAAATACTAGTAGATACTAAGTGCATGGATCACTGACTGAATTTTCTGTAGTCTGAGAATACTTACTGAGAAGGCATGTCTGACATTTGGCACTTCACTGAAGGCAATAACCACCGGAGTGACATCCAAGGCACTCAACTCCAGTACAGCTGTGCCAATGGCAACATCATCCTGTGATGGACCATTGGCAAAAAATAGGGCAACTTTTCTCGTGAGGATGCCCTGACGAACACGTTTGAAGACATTTCTTGCAACAAATCTCATGGCTGCCCCAATATTACGTTTTCCAGTGGATCTCTCTAGTGGTATTCTCTGGACTGCTTGTAGCAGCAAGTTGCTTTTTTGGAATTCTGAGAAACGGATGAGATAGCGCGTATTGGTATTGAAAGAAACAACGGAGACACGAGCACCTCTTGGGCAATTGCTTTCACTAATCTTAATGGTCTTCAGCAATAACATAACAATGTTCCTCATTCTTTCAAATGCAGCTGGCGTAACATCTTCAGACATATCAAAGGCAAACACCACTTCAGTTGAATAAACTGGACATGTGTCTGTATATTGAAATAAAAAGTTTGTGTGAGAGCCTTTCCACAACTTAAACATTGTTAGTTTTTCAAGTTTATATAAGAATAGACATGCAGAGGCCAGATGGGCTTACCTGATGAGCAAGCTGGAATGAAGAGACGGAGAGCAAATAAATTATTTTGGACTCATATCCATTAAAATAGTGACATTTGCTTTCACTAAAGAGCCTGATTGAAAGCTCAGACAACTGACACAATCTGTCAGCAAGAGACAACACTCCCCTTCCACAGTCAAAACAGTGCAATTTTACTGGACAAGAATTAAAGAAATTGTTACAGGTTCTGCTGAACATACAAGTCAGAGAGAATGAACACTCCAAAGCTGAAGGACAGGTGACATACAAACATTGTTTTCTCTCAGAGAATTCCCCAAAGTGGGGTGGCACAATACCAAAGAATTCACTTAATCTTAAATTAGATAAAGAGACATTTGTAACAGTTTTCGTAATTAAGAGATAGAAAAAATTAGCAAAGAGTTTAAGTCTGTTTCACATACCTCACAGTTAACTACCAGTCATCATCAAACTGAACCCAGGAATAAACTACCAGTCTACAGGGCTTCCAACGGAGGCTATTCCATTTAAGAAGAGTGACTAGCTGGAATCTCTAGATTAGCAGATGCTCCCTACTTACGGCAGTTTTTTCGTGTAAAATTCACAAGTTCACAAGGCTGCAGGAGCAAAACAACAAAGCGATTAATGGCAAATTCCAGGCGGTCCCAGACTACTGGTTTGAGCTGAAGCTCATAAGCCAGCTCCTGAACTATCTCTCACTACAGTAAATCTAGAATCACACATTCCAGTTCCTCTCTATTTGAAATAGTATAGGGGCTCTGCCCCCGCCAGAAACCAAGGGGTTTTTTAGACACGCTCTCTTGGCATTTAATCACGCTCTGCAGTATTAAGCAATCATTTGTCCATTCTTTATTTTATGTAATAATCTGATCTATGAGGTCACCAGGCAATGGGACTTCCACGGGAGAATGGGGGGCATTTCAATAGCAATTCACATAGGAGAGAAGTCCACAAAGAAAAAGAGGACCCCCTCTGGACATAGAACACACTTGCAATAGCATTGCCCACAGGTAGTTGTCCACACAAGGGTTAGATGAAGCCTTTACTCAGAAGTGTTCATCTTACATGGGATTAGGATTCTGAAGAAATCCTGCCCTGCTATTCCCACTGAAAATAGCTGTTGCTCAGGAAATGCCTTCCTTTACAAGAGGGTAAAAAGTAACCCTAAACCTGAGCTGGTGTGAATGAAGAAACAGCTAAAGGAATACCAATGGTCCAACAGTTTGTAAAAGTTTGCACATGGCATTCACACACATAACTGTTTCTCATTTTTTGATTATTTGCAGAACAGAAGAACACACTGCACTCTGACAAGTATTTGAAAAGGATACTGTTTTATAACAGCTAATTGTGCTTATTGTAGTCAGTGCTTGTAAATGGAAGACTAAAACTATTAAATCCACGCAGCGTGCAGTTAGCTGTAAGGTAAATACTTACTTCCATTAAAATGGTGCCCATTGGTCCCTTGGCACCCTGAAGCAAACATAAATCCAGAAAAATCAGACCCTGATAACATATTTCCATCTATTAGTCTGTAGCCCAAAGAAAATGCAGGCATGCAGTGTTTCCCTGACAATTGTTTGTCAGTTTGAAATATGAGAAGACATCAGTTTCCAGCACGAATTTCTGTGGACCTGTTCCAAACAGAGTTGCAGACTACTTCTCAGACCTATTTCTCAGTTCATTTCCTTTAATGGTTTTATAAATGTTCGATACCTGTTGCTTTTGCGGACCAGTATAATTCAGAACTGGATTTCCTTTCTAAACAGCAATTTCTGTGCTGTCATTCAGGAGATCTTGAGCTTGAAAGCTCTCTGAAGCCTTCTTGGACATAGATTGGCAAGGCCAACAGCTATCTGGCTCAGCACACAAGGTCTGTAATGTATGTGAGTGGCCAAACAGTAGGGAGGGCAATGTGTTCCAGATGACACTCTTGGCCATTCTTGGGCCCAGCATCATAAAATAAAGCGGGCCGTGTACATTCATTGACCATACATACAGTGTAACGACAAAAAAAAAAAAAAATTCTAAGTTGCATATTCCCATAGACTATGTTATACAGGTAAAGATACTGTTATCAATAACGTTCCATATTTAAACTAAAAGAGTAAGCTTAAGAAGGTTTAACAAGAAAATAATTAACAGCAGGGATTGTTTCTGGTTACCATGGAGCTGATTTGCAGAACTGCCGCAAAACAAAGACAGAGACATCCAGGGATTTTCCCAACTGCCTAAAAATTAGTCCTAAACCCTACTGCAATCCATGACCCTTCCCCCTACTTAGATAGAGAACAAAACTTTTTATTGCATAAAACGCTAATCACAGACACTGGAAAAGCACATCAAGACAGCTACTTGAATATAAGGATTAACAGGTTACAGACAATTTAAGCTTTAAGTAAGTGCCTGTAATTGTAAGTCTGATTTTAAATTGCTTCTCCTTTCAAATGAAAAAATACATTGGCTTTCAGCAGAATAATCCAGTTTACATCTTAGTACTCTCTTATTTTTTAATTAGATATTTACCCCACCTATAAACAATACCAAATACCGTAGAAGAAATTCTGCCCTGCATTGTATCATTGCAGTTCCATTTCCAACAGCAGGTGCTTTTGTGCATACACATCCAGAGGCAAGATGCAACTCTATACAACTGCCAGGCTGATTAAGCATAGTTTACCACATGAAACACTATTAAATATTCCATTAATCTAACAGCAAGTTTAAGAGCAACCTAAGAGTGATTTTTTAAAACAAAAATATATTACCATAGGTCCTGATGGCCCTTGTTCCCCTGGCTCTCCCAGGGAACCTGGTGTGCCAGCATTACCCTAAAAACAGAAATACAAGTTTTATTCTTTATAATTGCACACACAGGTGCAGAATTTCAGCAGAGAAAAACCTCTATAACTATATATATATTGTGAGTCAGATCCTGCATTTACATAAAGATAGACATCTACCCCTAAGAATTATTAGCAACGAATGTCTCTAAAAACCTAGACCTGCATTCTCTCAAGACCTCTTGCCCAGGATACGTCAAGAAAAGATCACAGTGGGAACAACTGAAAAAGTTTTTGAGGAAACACCTAAGACATAAGGGCTATACTTATAGGACTCTTCACAGAGTTAACAGATTTGTCATTCTTACTCTTCTACCCCTAACTCCTTTGGGTCCTTCAGCTCCTGGAATGCCCGGCTCTCCATTTTCTCCCTGGAAATTAATGAAATCCAGGAGAAGACAGACAACAAGACAGATAACCACTTCTAAATAAGAATAACGTAAAACAAGACATAAAGAAAGCAAACACGTCCATTTAATCATACCTCTGTACCAGGACATCCTATGAATCCAGATTCTCCCTACCAAAAGAAAGGACAAAAACTTTGTAAGAATCTAGAACTTTGTTATTGGCTTAGTGTTTGATGTCTTTAAACCAAAAACAATTTCAAAATTATTCTTAGCATTCCACCCCATTCAAGTGACAGTGGCTACTACTCTGGTCTCAAATGACACCATTTAGATTAATATCTTGTTCATCTAAAGAAAGATCATTGAAAAAATTTCCAATGGCTTCTGAATTTTGGTGGGGCAGGTGTGTCATCGGGTGAACAGCTGACTAAACGTAGACATAACGTTTGATTTGACACTGCAGAATGGACCCTGTGAGACATCCTGACTCTAAGCACTCACCTTTGCTCCTTTGCTTCCTTCAGGACCATAGGCATCTCTGCCATCCACGCCCTATATAGATTGAATACACAATAAGTTAGCTTTTAATAGATTATTAGATTCACATCCAATTCCATTGGACCCATTACAGTGAGGTGCACAGGCTGTTAAGACTGATGAAGTGGGGCATGCTATCACAACACAATCTAAAACCAGTAGCAAATGGTGGCAAAATCTGTAGAGATAAAACAAGGATTAAGACCACAGTTCCTCTCCACTGTGTGCCCTACATAGCATATTCTCTCTCTCCTGGAAAACTGAGGGAAAGATATTCTCTCTAGTCCACAAGGAATCTGGTGTCCACACAGAAACTGAGAACCAGATGTGAAATAATTTTAACTGTATCAAAGAAATAAAAGTGAATGAACTGTACCAATTCAGATGGGTAGGTATTAAGCTATGAGGGCCCTGAATTAGGGCAGAAAGACTCACACGCAGGCCTCTCCATCCAGCTGGTCCCACTGAGCCCTTCTCTCCAGGGCCACCAGGCTCACCCTGTTACAATTAAAACATAAAAGGCATTAGTTTGGCTCATTTAGAAGAATTCTTCTTTCTGAAATGTAAACTTGTCTGTTAGAAAGAAGTGTGCTTATTACAGACTACTTGATGCTGGCTGAAAGCATTCCATTACAGATCATGTTTCATGGAAGGTTCCTTGCTGTGGAACTGGAAAGTACTTAGCAAATCAGAATATGCTGAACATTCATGCAGCTAAACCCAAAGGCCTTTGTTCAATACAACTCCCGTTGTTACACAGAGTTACCAGTGATAAGTGTTTTCTGGAAAAATTTATGTTAATGGTAGCAGGACATAGCCTGGAATTCTACCAGCCTGAAGCATCTATTGATAGCTGACGATGTATCTCAGGCAGGCTGTCTGTACTGTGCTCTTAGTCCTTTTGCAAGTTTTCTTTTCTTCAGTTCCACTTTTGTTTTTCACTTTCTTAATGAACTTTTTTCTGTTCCACTTTTGTTTTTCACTTTCTTAATGAACCCAAATATTAAATAGCACAAAACTAGACTGAGAAAACAGAATGTATGATGGATTAAATTCCTGTGTCACTTCTCAATTTTTGTCATTGTTTCACTGTTCATTTTCACACAGTGACTCTTTTCATAGAAGCACTTTGACCTTCTGATACGTTTCTGACACTGAATGTAGTAATACACTGAATGTAATAACCCATCAAAGAGACTGAAAGGCTTAGCTATTTGGTATTATTTATGTCTTTTAGATTTAAAGATGTAACAACATCTAAACTGAGATATTTTTATTAAACAAAGTAAGTTTCCCATATCAATGCACATTAATGAAAATAAGGGATAACGTTTATAATAAGTAAGTGAACCATAAGGTGGACCACCTATTAGTATAAGCCCTTCTGTTTAACTTCACATTGATGCAATTCTTCTCAACATATTAATTCCTGTATAATAGACATCATAACAGTCAAGTTCCTTGGACTGGTTAGGAATCTTCAGAACAAAACAGTTAAAATAAGCAGCTATGCTTCATTGAACTGGGAAGTTCAGACTGGACATTAGGAAAAAGGTTCTTCACTTGAGAGGGTGGTTGGTCACTGGAACAGGGTCCCCAGGGAAGTGGTCACGGCACCATGCCTGTCAGAGCTCAAGGAGTGTCTGGACAGTGCTTAGTCATACGGTTTAGTTTTAGGTAGTCCCAAAAGTAGCAGGGAGTTGGACTCAATGATTCTCATAGGTCCTTTCCAACTTGAGATATTCTATGATTCTATGAATCCCTGGTACATATTTTCAATGGATTGGACAGATTCTAGGAATCATTACACAAGCTCAAGGGTCAACACTGCTGTATCCCTACTGCATTTTGTGAGAAGCCAGGCCCCACGGAGAACCAAGACCACAACAGTAATTAGAACATAGGTCATGGCAACACTAAAAACTTCTTAGTGTAGCTCTGACACCTGCAAGATTACCTTGAACATGTATCACTTGCCTTCCCATGCAATATAAAAATGTCCATAAACTTAACATTCTTCACATGTTCCCCAGGAACAACCTAAGTGTTAGTTCATGCTTCTTCCATCAGATTCTTGAATGAATAATACCAATTGCTGCAATTAGGTACCTTCAGAATCTTTACCTTTGCTCCTCTTGCACCTAACTTCCCAACGGAGCCAGGTGAACCTGGGGCCCCCAGACTAGCCTGTAATCAGAAGTATCAGTTAAAAGGTGCACAGTGAAGAAATAAAGGGCTCATTACACTCACGGATTCATTGCCACTTGAAATTATTACAGGATCAGTATAAATATTAGAATATTAACAGGCTTTTGAGGACCACAGTAAGAGCTACTGGTCAAGCCATCATTCCAGTTATTTCCTGTTTCTGTATGACTGCTTTAAAATTCTCAAAACATTAAGTAGACATGAATGTTTTTTTCTATCTACATAGATACCTAGTGAATAGATGTGTATGTGCACAAACAATATGAATGTATGTATCTACACACATAGAAATGGGTGTGTAAGCATGAGCATCATCACATGACTGAAGCAGATGGCCAAGGCTGACAGAGTAGGACATTCCAGTCCTGAGTTACACTTGTGTAATTCCAGAATAAGAGCTCCCAAAATCAACAGCATCACACAAGTGAGAAGATCAGGAGGCAGTGCTCAATAGTTACGACCTCATCATACCCTAGCATTAAATCTCACAGGCCATACTTTAACGAAACCACTAACGGTTACCTAACTTTGCCCCCAATTACACCACTGTACATCTGTATTTATACATGCTGCAAGCCATGCTTTTAGTCCTGATACTACAGAACTGAAAATGGAATCTAGAGCTAAGGCTTTTCATTGCAATCATGCAAAAGCTTGGTAACACTGAAGTTCACTTTCTATTCACACACCTAAATTTATTTTCAAGGCTGTTATTTTACCATATGAGGCTGCAAATCAGTTTCCTGAAGTACTATACCAAAAAATCCTCTGTTTCTTCTTTCTGTAAGTTTTTTAAAAACTCTTTGTAAAAATAATAACAACACTGAGAATGAAAAGCCCTAATGTGTGCAGCATTTATTTAAAGCTAACCAGAGGGCCTGGCATGCCTTGTGGTCCTGGAGGTCCTCTGATCCCTCGTAGTCCTCTTGGGCCCTAATGTTAAAAAGCCATTGGAAAAAAAAAAAAAAGTCAGTTCAATGTTGATAGCCTTTCAATGAAGATTAGATCGCTGCAAGGACCAGAATCCAAGTTTCAAAAGCCTTAATGCACAGGTGAAACTTCCGGCTGTTTGTAAGGATTTGCATGCGTGAAGCGGTCGAGATGGTCACTGCCTGAGGGCTGTATTCAGACACCAAGGGAGCCACAGGCAACCCACTATAAACTTTCTGTATCTTTAAACTTAAAAGAGCATCTTTAGAGCATCTAAGAGCATCTTAAAACTGGAAGCTACTGTAAGCAGTCTACCACCGTAATTCTCTTCAAAATGACTCCATCAAGCAAATTTTTAAACCACAAAGCTTTCACCATTGATTTTGTCAGTAAGTATATAATTTTTAAGAAATCTGCTTGATAATATCCTGCAAGCTAGAGATGTATTCGTTAAATCACTTATTCCTGCTATTTACTTTCCTCTTTTCGTTTCACGAGAGGCTGCACTACAGAAACCGAAAGAGAAGCTTGCCACATTTAATTCCTCAGGGTTAAAGAGGAGGTTTGCCAAGGAAGAATCTTACTCATAATATCCATTAACTGAAGTAAACAAAGCATTCCAAAGAAAAACTAAAGATCAAGTCTGACAAGTCATCTTCATACCTAACATAAAAATAACTCAAGAAGTTCTTTTAGTTACCTGTGGGCCTGAAAGACCAGAGTCTCCTGGGTAACCTGCTTGCCCCAGATCTCCTTTCTCACCCTGCCAGAATGAAAAAAAAAAAAAAGAAACAACAACCAAACCAAACAAATTAAGACCTGTCATATTTACATCAACAGACAATAAATTCATATTTGCACAGATTATCAGTTGATAGAACATTTTTCAGTTCTCAAACAGCTTTCAAGCAGCTTCAAACTCCTGTTGAATAAAACTCAATTAAAAAGCAGAGTTGAGTAGCTTTTTTTGTTGGTTAGGGCATGCGATGAATGTAAAAGCTGAGGCATAAGGCATCAGTTCTATCTACTTTGCATTTTGCTAAGTGCATTTTACACTATGGTCTCAGCAATATTCCTGCATGACCCTTGTCCTTGTCCACTGCAGAGACCTTATCCATGGAGAACTACTCTGAGGGGGACCCATGACTCCACAATTCATCCTAGAATTAGATGTCTTTACTTCCCATCTTTCACTCTGGTTACTCAGTGAGGCAAGTCAAATCTTGATGATGGAAAAAAACCCACTTATCCAGCTTCTGTCTACATAAAGTTGCCATCTGAGAATACGTCAATTTAGCTGACATCCACAAGAAATATTTGCTGTCTGATGGACTGAGTAAAATGGTGATAATTAGGACCAAGATATTCTAGGCCTTGCCAATCTTCTTTCACTGGGGAAATTATAAATATATATCTGAAGATTCTCAGAAAACAGATGGTTCTGCTAGAATCTCCTGAGGAAGATTATATTCAAAATGCTCAACACCATATGAATAAAATGAAAGACAACAAAACAAAACAAAAAAGGCATTTGAGTAAGCTTATTTGTAGCCAGCATTACAATACTGTAACACAGAACACCAGTAGACTGATGCCAGGCTTATACCAGCTGAGATTTCCACAAAAATCACTTTGCAATGAAAATGGACAAATTTCTTAGGCTGACTCTACTAGAATCCAAAACCAAGAGAAAGTTTTCAGCAACTTAAATTAACTTTGAATCAAACCCAGAAGAGTTGTTCTTTTCTTTTTTTTTTTCTTTTCCTCTCTCTCATGCCTTCCTTTATTCTCCTCTCCATCTTCACTATTTTGCTTTGCTTTTGGAACACAGAGTGCAGTGTTGTTGTTCTTGTCTGTGACAGACACCAGACACTGGGGAAAAGAAAGTAGTCATTCTGCCCGATGACTACTTCTGACTCTTAGCTGTGCTGCTTTCTTTTTTTTAAACTATTTCAAAAAGTTAGTCTCCCTTTTATCACAAAAAGCAACAGATAATTTGAACAAGTAGTCCTGGGAAACTGTCCTTTTCAGGATATGGTGAAAAGTGCTGTGTTCATGCTGACTGCAAGGCAAGTTAACAACTTTGTTGATGCGGGCGTTAGTTCAGCACCTTTTATTAACAGCTAAACCTGGTGCAAGTCCTTAGGCATTAGCTGGGCGAATTCCAGCTTGCTGCCTGTAATTTGATTATTTGTCCCCGAGTACATCACCACCGATATCCATCTTCATCTGAAAGAGGGATTCATTTCCATTCCATTCCCTTTCAGCACAAAATCTTCCTCTTCCAGAAGCACTGGCCATACCATATTTCCTTATAGAGCCAGAACCCATGCTCCACAGAAGGAGCTGCAAACATTAGGACTATACGGTTCTGCTTCCTGCCCAGGGACACCAGGAAGCCTGCACAGTGAAGTTCTCACACCTTGTGCTGACAGAGCTATGGCCTGCGGCAGCTTTGCTACACGCTGCCATGCAAGAGATCTTGGTGGGAGGACACAACACCCAAAATGTCACCCAAGGATGGATGCCAGTATCACACTGCAGGGCCTACTGCTCCAGCTAGTTCCTCCAGGAGATGTGGAAGACAGAAAGTGTAATTCTCTCTGCCATTCGCGTTCTACCCCTCTTCAGTGAACAGGCTACTTACATAAGCTGTGCACTAAGCATGGGTTGGGACCTATCTTTTAATGCTTACTGACCATGCAAATGTTTTCTGTTATACTTTTTATAAGTCAAAGCTGCATCAAATACTCAAATGAAAACTGTTTGGAAGTTCTCTGTGGCTTTTTTATGGTTCCTACCATATTACAAAAGGGTGGCCTCAGTACTCGGGGAAGGGGCCCCCATGGAGATGAAGAAGGTTGTCTCAAAAAGGTTCAACTACTTCTGCACTCTGTGATTTTACTGAACAAGTGGAATATTTTTATTTTCTAACGACATCAGAGTTTTTGTGCTTGTGAGTACAGCAAAGATAAGGTACAAATCCATTTCCATGGATTTTAGTTTTTGTCCTGTTAACCTCATAGATCACTTGGGTTATTTCTTTCTTCTGGCACCTGACAGAAAAATGCAAAGCCTTTTAGAGTCCAGCAGCAATCAAATGGAAAAAAAGAAGAAGGCACAAAGTTACATAATTACTTAAGAAATGGATTTCTGAGCTTTTAAGCAAGAGCTGGAATAATTAAGAGGCAGGCTTGATGAATATTTTTCAGTATTTTAATCTAAAATGTCTGCATAAACCCTGTAAACAATTTCTGATATAGGAACAGGAAACTAACTATAAAATGCTCGTATTTTTTCAAGTTACGCTGATCCTTGTGAGTAGCGAAAGCATGGTGCTTTAGCCCTACTGGCGGATAGCATCACAATTGTCCAGAGTCTAGACCTATCTGCGATACTCCAGACATTGAAAATTCTGGATTCTCAAATTGAAATCCAAATTGGGATTTTCAGAAACCAGGTGGGGCAGAGGTTTCAGCATAAGGCCTACCCATGTATTGCATGAAGCTGGGATGTGACTGGATTGTAGTTTGGGGAACTTGCAGGACTCTCACTTCCAACTGTCATTTCCCAGGGAAAAATTAATCTGAATCAGGTTAAATGTAAAAAACCTATGTTACCTGGTAATAAAAGTATATCAAAACTCTGCTATGCTCAAGAGGAGAGGGACAGGAAGCCCAGAAATGAGAGTCAAATCAAACACTCTGCTGCTGAAGAAACATTACTAGCATAAAGACAGCCCAATCCTCCCAGTAGCCTTTTTCCTTTGCTGAAATGTCTGTTCTATTGCATCATTATGGCTATTCTGACTGTTATTTATTAACATTTTACACGTGTCCTCAGTTTCAATGCTTGTTGCTCTTGCAGAAAAAGCACTCAATCCATGCAAAAGTTTCATGAAAAGGGGGGGAAAAGA